TACATCCAGTCATAAATAGCATGTCTGCTTCTCAATCTCTCATCCCTGAACATACAATATGCAATGCAATACAAAGGGGTTTATTTTTAAAAGTTATTTTTTATTAAAGTTATTTGCTTCTACATGTCCTGCTTGTTTTTATTGTTTTTATTAAATATCTGTATTGATCATATCATCGCATTATTTACTGTCATCTGCCATGCGAGCCACACATCAAAGCTTGGCGAGCCGCGCAATGAGTAACACTGAGTTAGACTCATCAGTCCTTAATCCAGTAACTCTATCTGGCATGGACATGTGCTGAGCACAGACATACGCAAACAAACACACACACACACACATAGACAGCAGCGTTCACGATTCACCAGTCACGACTGAGGTATTCTCAGCACATGCTACTTATCTTGCTTAATAGCCGCTGGATTAATTGTACTACAGCTAGTTTATGGAAGGTGTGTTTTCTGAATTTCTGGCTGATTCACAACAATCCAGCTGCATTTAGATTGTTAAGTCTCATCATAATAATAAGAGTCCAAGGCTTGTGCCAGGAAAAACAAGTAATACAAGATGCATTTGAGATCATCAGACATCAATTAATTGCCAAAGGGCTTGTATTCAAACAGCAGGTGAGATTCAGTATGATACACATCTTAAGATCAGCTTTAAATTATTGTTTTATTTCTGCTTTTTGTCACAATACTAATGAACCAGGCTACAAAAATAAATATTTATGAATATCCATGATAATAATAATAATAATTTTTTTAATCTCGAGATTCTCTCGGTTATCATCCAGGACTCAACCAGAGTCTTTTAATATTAATTAATATTATAATTAATTATTATTATTATTATTGTTATTGTTGTTATTGTTGTTGTTGTTGTTATTATTAACAAAAATTGTTACAATATTGTTTAATAGTAATATTTACAAAAATAATTTGTTGCAATATGTTTTTAGCTGTTAAGCCTAAATTATTACATATTTATCTGATAATTAATGGCTGTTATGTTAGACAATTCACTGTATTAGAGTAATATCAGACAAGCAAGAGTGTGCTATGGCCACAAATTCAGGATCTGACATTGCAAATTCAAAAGATGTGTCCAAGCTTCTATTACTAATTCAAAAACATCATGTTAGAACTAGCAATGACAGCTTTCACACAGAACACGCTGCTTTTCCATTTATGCAAGCATGTCCTGGCATTCTAAAAACGCAATGCTTTTTTTTTTTTAAGTTAAAAAAAACTTTTTAAAATCACATTTTTTGACTTTTTTTTATTACATTACTCTTTGTCTTGTGTTTCTAAACTGTGTTAATCTACAAGGCAAAACAGCAAACGGTAAACAGTTCAATAAATAAGAAGTATTATTACTTACATTTAAGACAAATAATTGCCAGTTTGTCTGTTCAATGCTTTTCCAACCAAAAAGGCCACAGCAGATCCGTTTCAAAATACGGTAGTGTATTTTTTGCCTGAAGAAGAATAACAGCAAGAAAACATACCAGCTGGTGAAAGACCTGACCAACACAAAGCAAGGGCGAACACCAACCATACAAGACAAGGACGGTAATTGTCTGACTGTAGAACAGGACATCCTAAAGAGGTGGACTGAGTACTGTTCAGAGCTGTATGGCTATGAAACCAAAGGAGATCAAGAGGTACTGAATGTCCCCCCAGCAACCGACAATGACAACTACCCCATCCTTCGCACAGAAGTGGAAGAAGCAATGGAGGAAGCAGTGGAAGTCGGCGGGAGTGGGTAACGTCCCTGCGGAGTGCAGAGCTCATGCAAGCAGGGGGAGATGCCTTGATAAGTGCCCTACTGAATATCTGCAACAAGATCTGGCAGACAGGAGAACGGCCCAAACCATGGACCCAGTCTCTCATCATCATCCTCCCTAAGAAAGGCAATCTACATACAACTTTGCCAGAATTATCATACCATCAGCCTTATAAGCCACCCAAGCAAGGTCACGCTAAAAATCCTACTGAATCGATTGAAGCCGCAAGCGGACAAGATCATCGCTGAAGAACAAGCGGGCTTCAGACAAGGGCGCAGTACAACAGAGCAGATCTTCAACCTTAGGATAATATGTGAGAGATACCTACAACATCAACAAAACCTTTACCACATTTTTGTGGACTTCAAAAAGGCGTTCGACAGAGTATGACATGCAGCACTATGGGCCACCATGAGGCAGTACAACATGATCAAAATGATAAAAAACCTCTATGATAAGGCCACCTGCGCGGTTTACCTCAACAGCAACATAGGGGACTGGTTCAGAACCACAGTTGGAGTAAGACAAGGCTGCTTGCTCTCCCCTACACTCTTCAACATCTTTTTAGAACGAATCATGGCTGATGCATTGGAAGACCATGAGGGGACAGTCAGCATAGGAGGCAGGACAATCACGAACTTACGTTTTGCAGATGACATAGTTGGCCTGGCAGGGAAGGAAGAAGAGCTGACTAACTTGGTGGAGCGCCTTTACAAGATCTCTACATCCTATGGTATGCAGATCAATGCGGAGAAGACTAAACTGATGACTAACAACAACAAAATTGGCTTCACCACTGACATCAGGATTGGCGGCGAGAAGCTAGACAGTGTAAACCGTTTTAAATACCTGGGAGCTATCGTCGCGGATGAAGAGTCCAAACCTGAGATACTCGCCAGGATCGCCCAGACCACAGCGGCGCTGACAAAATTAAAGACCATCTGGAGTGACAGGAACATAGCCCTCAGCTCAAAGATCAGACTGATGCGCTCCCTAGTCATATCCATATTTTTATATGCCTGTGAGACTTGGACACGAACAGCTGAACTGGCAAGGAAAGTTCAGGTCATGGAGATGAGATGCTTCAGAATACTCCTCGGCATCTCCTACAGAGATCACATCTCCAATGAAGAAGTACGTGACAGAATTCGGCAGACCATTGGGCCATACATATGATGATGACCTCCTGACAGTGGTGAAAAAAATGGAAGCTGAGGTGGTACGGCCATTTAATAAGGTCATCAGGACTTGCGAAGACAGTCCTGCAGGGCACAGTGCCAGGAGGGAGGAAGAGAGGCAGGCAGAGAAAGAGATGGGAAAACAACATTCAGGAGTGGACAGGCCTGACGCTGGGCGAGACCTTGAGAAAAGCTGAGAAGAGGGAGGAATGGAAGGAGCTGGTTGCCAGAGCATCTGTTGCGCCCCAACGGTCAACCAGACTAAGGGACCGTGTGAGTGCGAGTATTTTTCCTACATGAGTTGGTGTTTTTGAACAAATCAGTTGAGTTAATGATTCAAAGACTCATTCAATCAGTTTCATTTGAACGCCACCTATAGTCACTTGTTGCCACCTACTGGTGTATGTGTGCTTGAATAGATGAACAATAGTATGTGCATAATGACATATTGCAACGTAAACACAGGTAATGACACTTCCTGTGTCATTGTAAACCAAATGGCTTAAAAAACATAAAAAAAATTTAAACAATTTTAATTCAAAAAACACCAGTAGTTTTGCAATACAGCAATACAATAAATGCAATACAGTTTGTACAGTATAAAAATCATTATGTCTATCGTAATCGTAATCAAATGGTTGAAGAATGCAAAATGAAAAAAAAGAAATATTGGCATGACTATTTTAAAGACTTGCATGTCATTCTGCTCTGTTACATCACAAGGATTCAGAGTAGAGCAAGCTCATGGACTTACAGCTACAACCATGATGGGATTCCAGCATTTCTAGCCCCCATCCTGAGCTATGATCAGGTAATGCAATGTCACGGTTATATTTAACACCATCATGACAGACATAGTAATAGTCTTAAGACAAGTGGTAAACAGTACAACACAAAGATGTTTATGATGCTAACCAGGAATAGAATGAACATAACAAATAAACAAATCCTGTGGATGACAGAAATGACATAGCTTTTGACCTTGGTTATACTCACACAGCACACAGGTCACACAAGCTAGACAAGTCATAACCCTCACACACACACACACTACAGGCATGAAGACTATCTGACTCATAACCTCATTGCAGGTCAGGAAGAAATTCAAATTTTCCCATTATGTTCATTATCCTTCACTAGTAATTGTCACCCACAACTTTAATAATAATAATACAAATATTAACCTGTAACAGTTTATTTGAAGCCTGTACATATAATATATTACAGAGGTGTTCATAAGATTTTATAATACACATTATAATTCAATGCATTTATAAACATCTGCAGACGATATATATTCTTGGTTTCACCTTGGGTATAATGATATAGGCTAACAGCTGGATGCTGATTATATTCTATAATACTCTGTAAAGGTACAACAATTAATAATGAAGTATTAAAATGTACTGCACTATATCTGTAGTTCCATGTATTCAATAAAAATATACAACTGATTAAGATGTATTATAAAGCATTTGCGGCATTATGCATACATAATGCGTTTATATGCATTGTATATAAAACTTCAAGTATGTGTTACATTAATCACTTATTATAGCAGTCATCATACTGCATAATGTTCAGCATAGACAAATGATTCTGCTAAATCAATAAATGCCTAAGTCATTTGAATTTGCAGTAGCGTATATTTATAGATAGAAACTTGATGAAGTGAGTTATTGAGTTTGAGGTGTACAGGTGCGTTTGCTGCGCTGAAAATAGGTACAAGTAAGCAGATATTTAGGGAGCAGGACAGTGAAGCAGATATAACATTTCACTCATTGTATACAAGATCCGCAACACAATAAAAGCTCATTGTTTGGTCTGCAAGCAAAATCCAGCGCGCGAGTTCATTACACGAGAAAGACACTACTGTATGAACTGTTTATTATGGACTGTCAAAGCAACTTTATGAAATGAACTCAAAAGCTGATCGTTTTGTCGTTAAGTTTCACAACGATAGAAAAGTCTGACTGTTCTTATTCTTAAAACTCGTGATAAATGTAACGGCAGAAATGAATGACTGTACTTACTCGGTCCGGGTGGATCAGCTGTGCGCTCGGATCAGCTCTGACAGCTTCACACACACCACCCCAATGGCCAATGAGAAAGTGTGAAAAGCCCTTTTAGGGTGTGTGTGTGTGTGTGTTTGAGAGAGAGAGAGAGAGAGAGATAAAAATACCCCCTTGACTAGGGAAACATTCCATTCTAAGGGGTAACAGCTCCGTTTATTAAACAGATTTTGGTCGCACTGATTTATTTATTTATTTTTTTCCTGCTAATTAAAAAGTTTTTCACATGAACATGAACAGCACAATGAGGAATTATATCATATAAAGCCGTTGCGTTCTACATGGAGAGGGTCGCCCCCTCATGGTCGCAATTATGTTGACATCACATGACGGAGTTTCTAATAAATAATAACGGAGAAAAAAAACAAAGTAATTTGTTAGTAAACAACATGTCAGTAAATGCAAAACCACTGGTACTACTGGGATGAACGAGGGCCAGCTAAACATTAACAAGTGGACTTTTAATTTTAAACTAAATGGAAAATTCAGTGAAAATAATGAATTAACTCGCTGACCCCTCCGCATTAGATTGCTTGGGAATGGCAGATGTCATTCCATGTGACTGAATCAATTTATGGCCATGTGCTATTGTATAAAAAAAATCATATGCAATTATACTTTGGCATGACTGGTCCCAGTTGGCCATCTTCCATAATTGTGGTCAGCAAGACACTTTGTGGTCATCTTGGCTCTTTACTAACAGCATTAGATTAATCAAACAGAAATTGTTATGCGGATCAAGAAGGTGGCAAACAATATTGAAATTGCTGTTTTATTACAGAAGTGTCAGTATAAAGAAAATGGTCAAATGTGCATTCAATTACAAATTTGATTTAATTGTATTAACTTGAAAGGGCATAATGTCATAACTACACTTAATCTCAGCCCATTTAATTACAAACAGGCACTGTTGGCTCTGGTTTGTGTCTACCGAAAATTCATCAGGAACAGAAAACATTAAAACTTCAAACAATTTGCTCAGAACTTAAAACATTGCATGCGGTTAAAAATAAGCAAACACTTGCAATTGATGCCAAAACAAACACAAAACAAGGCACAAAAACATCACTATAAGTCAACTTTCAAAAACAACTCCAAGGTAGCACACTGAAACTAACTGGAAACATCAAACTTACCTGTTAGACAATCAATTGTGCTGCAACATACACAAAATGTCATTATTAGAGAGTTGTCACACGTGAAAAAGACAAATTCTCATTCCTCCTCACCACTGTAAACACATGAATAAGGTGATGGTACATTAAGGAGCAAGAGCTCCACAAACAGCTGGACTTTTTAAGGGCATTTGTTTCTTTTTAGCAGTACCAGTAAAATTGTACATTTCCACCAAAATACATTTTTGCACCTCATTTTCATTAGACAAAATCGTGATCTACAGGTTAAGGTGTTGCACTTTACTCCATTATAAAATAAAAAAAAATCAATTTAACAGAATAATTCTCTGTGCACCCCTGACTGGGTGGGAGGAGCCTGTCTAATCATTTGACTCCACCCTCTTCACTCATCTGTCATTCATCTTCACTGTTGCAGTCTGCCAGGGAAGGATGGGCCAAAGCTCTGCAGGCAGAGATACGATGAGCTGGATTGAAAGTCAAAAATTGCTGTGTGGAAAGGGAAGTTTCAAACAAGAAAAGTTATTTATATGTGTATTTTGTGTACCAGTCACTAAAATCTCGTATAGAAATAAATACCACTTACAGACAGCAGGTCATTCTCCTCATGGGCGAGACTGGGCAGTAGTTGTTTTGTAGGCTTTTTCTCAGCCCATGTAGGGCTGTAGCAGACAGGGCTTTCTATGGGCCAGTCCTCCTCACCCGGCAATCCAATGACCCTGAGAGAGAGCGAACATGCAAGACCACAAATGACAACAAACAGGTGGAGTTGTTGGTTGCAATAACACTAACTGGGATTTGGAAATGCAAAGTATTTTGACTCACTCAAAGATCTTTTGCAGCTGCTGGATCTCTGTGAATCCACGAAACAAAGGCCTGCAGAAAAGGTGAGAGAGAAAGATAGGACATCTCAGAATTAGAAAAGTTGTTTGTAAGAAGTTGAAAAGAAGTCTCTTATGCTCAGCAAGGCCGCATTTATTTGATCAAAAAATACAGTAAAAGCAGCAATGTTGTGAGATATTATTGAAAAATATTTTCAAATACAATTATTCCAGTGATGGCAAAGCTGAATTTTCAGCAGCCAATAATCCAGTCTGTAGTGTCACATGATCCTTCAGAAATCATTCTAATATGCTGATTTGCAGCTCAAGAAACATTTCTTATTATTATTATTATTATTATCAATGTTGAAACAGATGTGCTGCTTAATATTTTTGTGGAAACTTCATACATTTTTCAGGATTCTTCAAAGAATATAAGTTCAAACGAACAGCATTTATTTGAAATAGAAATATATTGTAACAGTATATAAATGTTATTACTGTCATTTCTTAAAAAAAAAAAAAATCTCACTTCTAAACCCAAACTTTGGAACAGTAGTGTATGTCAAGTTGTGACTTGATGTCCATTGTATAAAATGTCTCTCTGAGCTCTGTTTTGCTCTCACCTTAACAGAAAGAGCTCTGCAAAGATGCACCCAGCACTCCACATATCCACTGAAGACATGTAACTGGACTGCAGCAGGACCTCTGGAGCCCTGTACCACAGAGTCACAACCTACACAGATTCAAATACAAATACATCACATGCAGTAGCTCACTACCACCTCACTTATTTCTGTGAACGTCAATCTGAGCTCCATACACATGGGGTGAGGGCGATATGGTATGTATATATCCTGGCTAAACCGAAGTCTGCAATCTTGACCTCCCCTCGACTGCTCACGAGCACATTGTCTGGCTTCAGGTCCCGATGAATGACGGTGTTAGTGTGGAGGAAGTCAAGTCCGCTGAGCAGCTGACGCATCACATCCTATATAAAGAGAGAAAAAAAACACATGAATCTATGCTCTAGTCTTTAATTTATTCCATACAGTGTGACAATATGCTGCTTCATTGGGGCATGTTGTCACTAAAGGTGTATGTATTCATTCTGTATCTTCTTTAATGGGCTATCATGGTGGCAGTGTACAATGACTTTTTTGTAGCAAAGACTTTCAGATATGTGACCCTGGACCACCATTACCATTAAGGTTACATTTTTTGAAATTGTGATTTATGCATCATCTGAAAACTGAATAAATTGATCATCAGTTAATTGCTTTCTATTGATGTATGGTTTGTTATGATAGGACAATATTTGGCTGAGATACAACTATTTGAAAATCTGGAATCTGAGGGTGCAAAAAAAAAATAATAATAATAATAATTTGAGAAAATGGCCTTTAAAGTTGTCCAAATGAAGTTCTTAGCAATGCCTATTGCTAATAAAAAATGAAGTTTTGATATATTGACAGTAGGAAATTTATAAAATATCTTCATGAAACATGATCTTTACTTAATATCCTAATGATTTTTGGCATAAAAGAAAAATTGACCATTTTGACCCATACAATGTATTGCTGGCTATTGCTACAAATATACCCCAGCGACTTAAGACTGGTTTTGTGGTGCAGGGTCACATATGTCTATGCAGAAATTGATTTTCAAAAAGAAACCCTTAATAGTAAAATTGTGAAAATAGCCCAGGTTTTCCCTATTACTATTTTATATGAAAGATGAAGTCACTGCAAAATAAGAGGAGCAAAGTTAAAACCTTGATTTTGTCCCTGGCCAGGCCTTTTTCTGATACTTTGCTGAGAAATGTGGTCAGATCCTGATCGATATACTCAAACACCAGCGTCAGGTCAAACTTCTCGTTTTGCCATCCAGCTGATACATTCAGCAACCTAAAGAGAAATGTCATAATACTCAAACTGAAAATTCATTATGCTATCAAAACGTATGTGGCATTTTTGACCGTTTCCATACTCACTTGACTATGTTGGGGTGGTTGAAGTGCTCTATTTTTCGCAGAAGAGCCACTTCTCGTATCACGAACTGAGGGATGCCAGACTCCGGCTCCTCGGGGATGTTGAGTCTCTTCACCGCTATGAAGCGCTGCTGCCCGCGTCTCTCTCTGGCTTTGTACACTTTCCCGTAGGCGCCCTGGCCGATTTCTGTCAAGATTTCATAATCTGAGCTCCCCCAACAACAGCTGTCATCCATGTTTAGATCAGATCAGTCTGACAGAGCGTGTTACTGCAAGAGACAAAAGTCATTGGGTGCTGAATAAAAAGATTTAGAAAATCGGACAAAGCTTTTTAAAACGCTTTCAACTCTACCTTGGACTGTATGGCTTAAAATAACTGTTAAATAAAATAATGAATAAACACCATAATTAAATGTAACAAATATTTATGAATGTTGATTTTTTTTTTTTTTAAATGACCCGTCGACATAAGATTTGTTCGTAAACTTAAAAAAAAAGTTTGCACATGGTCTTACTGAGATTAAAATTAGTTTGAAAATTAAAATTGAGCTGACTTGGAACCTGTATAATATTTGACTTTTCCACTTAGCTTCAAGAGACCCAACTTCAGAAGCCATCACCGGCGACGAGATTTATCCAAAACACAAAGATATACATCTCGCATTAAAATGGTGTTTATTGACAATTTATCTTAATTAATACCGCGGTAAGCGTGCACGTTGTGACACTTGTTCATATGGCTATACGTTCTTTCGAAGATATAAAACTATAATTAAGTACATTAACTTACCTTTTCTGTCAGTGTCATCCAAAACCTTGAGCAAGAAAATGATTGCCAACTAATTTGGATCAATGAGACGGATCAATAAGCGTTGTTTGCCATGATTTTAATAAAACCTCACAACATGCAGGGGTGTGAGATTTGCATCTGCAAAACCAACCAATGAGCAGCCCAGGATTTTTTTCTGGTTATCCCCCATCTCATGTGATGTCAACTATTCAAGAAAACGTATTCCCAGGTGAAACGATTTTGTACATCTATGCACTGTGAATGTCAGCAAAAATAAATCATATACTGTATAAAATAAAATAAAATAAAAAGCCTGTACCATGCAATGACATTAGACATTTTAAAAATGCAAAATATGTAATATTTTTTAACAATTTTGTTAAAGGATAATTATTTTTTTCCAGCAGGGTAGATAAGAAAAGAGACATTTATTAAATATAGTATCTGCCATTTTGAGACTTGACTTTCAGCCACACTGCCCCCTTGATTTTAAACCTGATACATACCACACAGTGATTTGTTGAAATGAACATTTATTCAGTATGCACAAGCATCCATTGTATATTAATAAGTACATTTATAGGCATATTTATACCAGTCTGAAATATGACTGCAACTTAAAAAGGCAGAAAAACGCACAGATAACTGTGCAGATGACATCATCAGAGAGCGTCTCAAATATATAATTTGAGAAAGATGCATGTAAACCCTGTATACAGACCTACAGGCCTATATCCACAGTAATTAATCAATTCTAAGTGCAACTAAGATTTCAGTTGATGGTTACAAAACCCCCAAAATACACAGTGCCAAGCATGTCTTCTGCTTTTTACACAAACCTTTCAAAAAGAAGGTTAATGGGAAAACTCAGCATTTTTTTACAGCTTACAATAAAACCATTTAAATTAAATCAACTGAATCGTATTCATTTCCCTTTTAAGTGCATTAAAACTAGATTTGAATTACTGTATAGTTGAGTTTTAAACCAGTAAGGCACTTGGTAAACACTTTGCCAATAAAATAATTTTAAAATGATTAGGTACAAATACAGTGGCGCATTATTGTTAGGCAGTGCAGTGGTTATTAATCACACATATCCTACATTTGTTCTTCTCCAGAGCCATATCTGATATCTCTGGGAATGATTATGAACATTATGCACTACTGATACTTATTCTTTCTTCTTGTTGTTGCCATTCTTGACTCTCTTGGCGAGACCAATGGCATCCAGGTGAAGGTTACGGTTCAGGATGACAGAACCACATGTCAGCGCTCCTGTCAGCGCTCCAGCAAAGCCACAAAACAATACATCCTGGCCTGTAAGCAAAGTCCAGATTTGAAAGAGAATTGTGATAAACCATAGCACTTTTCACATTCTTCATTCTAAACATCAGGTACTATCAGCTAAAACAAATACAAAAATGTAAGGCATGGAATGTACCTCGAAATCTACTTTTGGATGGCATACATACGAATTTGCATAAGACAAACTCACCAGTGAGGAAGAGGTTTTTAATGGGCGTCTGTGGTCTGATGGTGGCGTTTAGTTCAACATTGAAGCGAGCAATATCATGATCAATGCCATAGATCTCTCCTTCAGGAGCGGCAATGTAATGCTGATTGGTGATTGGGGTGCCTGCATCCACATATTCAATCTACAGACAGAGAGAGACAAAAAAAAAGGAAAAAAACACACAAAAAGGGTGTGTATTACTTGATGAGAGCAGGACCCTGTTTAGAGAGTTCATACCCTGTCCTTGATCTTAGGATAGATCTCAGTCACTGCCTCTAAGATGTTGTTGATGATCGCCTCCTTCAGCTCCTTATAATCTATGCTTCTGTTCTTTACTTTGTCATCTTTCCACTCTTCAAACCATGCATAGTTAGCAAAGCTAACAACAGACACGGTGGATTTACCTGTAGGTGAAGCATATTTGGATTTTAATTTAATAAGTTATTTTAGTGGAGAACCTTCAACCACACTGCATTCCTGTTGTCAAATGCGGACAAGCTCAAAACACTCTGGACTATAATTACAGGTTTGTCCACTTGTGATGAGATGACAAAAATCTTAACTCCAGATTTGAACAAGACATCACTTTATCTTCTCATTGTATATTAATAAGTACATTTATAGGCATATTTATACCAGTCTGAAATATGACTGCAACTTAAAAAGGCAGGAAAACGCACAGATAACTGTGCAGATGACATCATCAGAGAGCGTCTCAAATATATAATTTGAGAAAGATGCATGTAAACCCTGTATACAGACCTACAGGCCTATATCCACAGTAATTAATCAATTCTAAGTGCAACTAAGATTTCAGTTGATGGTTACAAAACCCCCAAAATACACAGTGCCAAGCATGTCTTCTGCTTTTTACACAAACCTTTCAAAAAGAAGGTTAATGGGAAAACTCAGCATTTTTTTACAGCTTACAATAAAACCATTTAAATTAAATCAACTGAATCGTATTCATTTCCCTTTTAAGTGCATTAAAACTAGATTTGAATTACTGTATAGTTGAGTTTTAAACCAGTAAGGCACTTGGTAAACACTTTGCCAATAAAATAATTTTAAAATGATTAGGTACAAATACAGTGGCGCATTATTGTTAGGCAGTGCAGTGGTTATTAATCACACATATCCTACATTTGTTCTTCTCCAGAGCCATATCTGATATCTCTGGGAATGATTATGAACATTATGCACTACTGATACTTATTCTTTCTTCTTGTTGTTGCCATTCTTGACTCTCTTGGCGAGACCAATGGCATCCAGGTGAAGGTTACGGTTCAGGATGACAGAACCACATGTCAGCGCTCCTGTCAGCGCTCCAGCAAAGCCACAAAACAATACATCCTGGCCTGTAAGCAAAGTCCAGATTTGAAAGAGAATTGTGATAAACCATAGCACTTTTCACATTCTTCATTCTAAACATCAGGTACTATCAGCTAAAACAAATACAAAAATGTAAGGCATGGAATGTACCTCGAAATCTACTTTTGGATGGCATACATACGAATTTGCATAAGACAAACTCACCAGTGAGGAAGAGGTTTTTAATGGGCGTCTGTGGTCTGATGGTGGCGTTTAGTTCAACATTGAAGCGAGCAATATCATGATCAATGCCATAGATCTCTCCTTCAGGAGCGGCAATGTAATGCTGATTGGTGATTGGGGTGCCTGCATCCACATATTCAATCTACAGACAGAGAGAGACAAAAAAAAAGGAAAAAAACACACAAAAAGGGTGTGTATTACTTGATGAGAGCAGGACCCTGTTTAGAGAGTTCATACCCTGTCCTTGATCTTAGGATAGATCTCAGTCACTGCCTCTAAGATGTTGTTGATGATCGCCTCCTTCAGCTCCTTATAATCTATGCTTCTGTTCTTTACTTTGTCATCTTTCCACTCTTCAAACCATGCATAGTTAGCAAAGCTAACAACAGACACGGTGGATTTACCTGTAGGTGAAGCATATTTGGATTTTAATTTAATAAGTTATTTTAGTGGAGAACCTTCAACCACACTGCATTCCTGTTGTCAAATGCGGACAAGCTCAAAACACTCTGGACTATAATTACAGGTTTGTCCACTTGTGATGAGATGACAAAAATCTTAACTCCAGATTTGAACAAGACATCACTTTATCTTCTCCTTTTCTCTCTACCTGGACTTCTTTCTGGCCAGGTTGAGTCTTTGGCAGAAGGTGAGGCCACAAAAATAATAGGGACCTTTTTACAAGATTCTTCCCTGTTCCCCTTCATGTAACCGTCTATCCTGTAAGAACAGCAGACATGAACACAAATGAGAGCAGTGCTGATGTTACAGTGGACATAGGTTTAGAAATGAACAAGCACTTGCATAATATTTAGTAAAGGTAGGTTCACACTCACAGTTCATCCAAATTGTTCTCAGGGAAGATAAAATAATTGTCTGCTTTTAGGCCCAACTCCTCTTTTGTCCCATCCACACCAATGAAAATACTGAGACCACCATCTCCATGCTGCACCATACTCAACTGTTTCTGGATCGCTGCACAGCATCATCACAAAAAAAAACATTTTCAACTATAATTATAAGTAGCACATCAGGTAGCTCTTTGAGAATCTTCTTCCTAAAAAGCAGAATAAACGTAGGCTCTCTCTCACCAGACATAGTCTGCACATCTTTGGGCAGGAGACGTTCGTAGGTATTGAAGATTCCAGCATCTGAAATCACGAGGGGAGCGTGAACATGCACCTCTTCCTGCCCCTTCAGAACACTCACACCTGCATCAGTGCCAACAAAACAGCCCAGTCATCAAATCCTGGCTTTAAATTGTATCATTTCTAAAAGGTAGTGTGTGAAGTGTGAAGATGCCTTAAGTGTTACCAATAGCCTCTTTCACGTCATTGAGGAGTATGCGGTTGACAGGTGCTCTGACAAGCACTGCACCCCCTGCCTTCTCAATGATGGGGATCATGTGGTAGGCGATCTCACTAGCACCACCTTTTGGGTACCAGGCACCATTCAAATAGTGGCACAAAAGCAAACTGTGCAAGGAAAAGCTTGCATCTTTGGGCATTTTACCTGTTTAAACACAAACACAAAAAATGAAGAAGGTCAGTAGCTGCTAGAAATAGAGAGGAAACACATGAAACCACAAATTTTCAGTCAAGTCAGAGAACTGGATCATCTCACCGTAGGTCCCAAAGATGTAGGACATCACAGCTCTCAGATCCTTATTCTGTGTGAGCTCACTCACCACATCCGTCAGGCTGCGGGACGCATAGCGGAAGAATGAAGAAAGGCGACTGGCCAGGCCTGTGCGCACCAGGAACTTTGCGAGAGGAGTCGGGAGGAGCTTCAGCAGGACCATGAACCATACGCCATTTGCAACTTTCTGACAAGAGCATTAAATATCAGCATTAAGTGTTGTGTTTTACTCCGTGTCTCCATGAAGCTTCAAAAGTGGATTTCAGGTCTAACCAGTTTCTAAGTCTAGTCTTTGTAACGAATGAAATGGTTAATAGTTAATGAAGAAATGGTTAATGAAGGTGATGTAAGCTCATGTGCAAGCATGCAGTGCCCTCATTCCCCCTTTAGAGAGCAGTCGCAAGCCCTTGGATGAGTGCCTGTCTGTGGATATGATTGTAGGGGAAAGGTCATGCAAACAGCTACATACAGTTATAAAGACATTTCAACTTTTAACTCCTAAGCACATTCAAATCCTCTAGATTTTCAGAGTACTGAATGACTAAATCTACACTACCGTTCAAAAGTTTGGGGTCAGTAAGATTTTGTAAGAAATTAATACTTTTAACCGTAAACACCTACTACAAATCACTGCTTTTCCTGTAAGAGACACTGAAAACGTTAAAAGTCTTACGGACACCAAACTTCTGAATGTTAGTGTATATTCTAATATAATATGCGGTACTTATGAACAGCATGTGCAGTGACACCTGACAGACAACTCCTAAACTTACTAAACACTATCCTTGTTTCTCACCTTGGAAAGTCTCACATATTCATCAATGGCCTTTTCCTCCCCTGGGAAGCACTTCTTCAGTTCATCAATGTAGCGTTTCTTTCCACTGTAGATGGGGTATATGCGCCGATTTTCTGGTGGACCCAGGACCACTTTGTCAAAGGGGTTCTCCAGCGGGTCCCACTGCAGCTGCCCATTGGTCAACTGGTCAACCACACAGCGAAATGGCTTGTGATCCAGTAGTTCCCCAATATAGTGGATACCTGAGTTAGGGGGAAAACATTCAGGTCACCAAAAACCGACCTTGTTTTAATAAGACTCAATAAATGTGCTTATCTTTGCCAAAGCAAGACATGATAGGGTTTTAGGCAGATTAATACTGTTTTATCAGGTTGATCCTTTGTGAAGTACAGAGGTCTTTCTCACCAACATCAAACTCAAAGCCTCGCTCTGTGAAGGTGTGACAGCATCCTCCAGCCCGGTCATGTTGCTCCAGAACCAGAACCTTTTTACCCACTTTAGCCAACAGGACAGCAATTGCCAGTCCACCAATCCCACTGCCAACCACTACTGCATCCAAGTCCTGAGGGACCTTACTGGCCAGAAAGCCTGGATGTGGAGTTAGACTATTAGGTGTTTCATAAAAACAGATGCATATGGTCAGTAAAAGGTAGTTTACTGTACAGTTAAGATTTTAACTTACAATTATGTTAAACATAAATACGTCGTCAGTATCAACAGTAATGCGCAGGGTCATATTTTTAACTGACCTATTTCAAGTTTGATCTTTACATCCTTTAATAACCTTATTGATATCACAGAAGAAATGGTCCTGTTTTTGTTGTGTAACACTGGATCTGCTCTTTTAAATAATGCTATTAAAGTCCTGTGCTTGCTTGGAAAAGGTCATTTTCATAAGTGTAAAGTTACAGCTTCTAAACCAAATTTTATTGCATTTTGCTCTGAATTAAAAAGTTTTGCTGAATCCCTCTGTAAGTTAAAAAGAAACAAAAAAAGCAGTTAAAACATCAAAAAGATGTTTTGAATCATCTGTGAATTGAGATATAATGTTTAGATGAGCTTTCCTACCCCCTACTTGAGTCAAAAAGAAAAGTAAAAAAAAAAAAAAATTTTAATTTCTCTTCTTTATATTATTATTTATTTATTAATTATTATTTAGTTTTTGATATAATTGTTAATGTATTTTATTTTTATTTATGTCGTTTTATCTTGATGCTTGCTTTTTTTAATCTTATTCTAAATCCCTCGTAACAGGTTGTTTGTTCTTGATCATTGCTAAAGGCTAATTTCATTGGAATATAACAATATGTTTTCAAATGTCAAATGTTACTGGCAAAATGTTAATAAAAAAATTAAAATATAAAAATAAAAAATATATTTTTTAACTGACCTTGTTTCAGGACTTTGTTCTTCAGCTTTCTATCAAACACCATGGTCTTCAACGGCTCGCGCGTGTCGATTGCAAAAGGATTCGGTCCAGAAGTTCCCAACACATATTTAAAGAGAATGGCTACTAAAACC